CATAAGAAAGACAAGATATAACACATAAATGTTTCATGAAATTTACAATTCTTATAAGGAAAGAAAACACGAAAAATTAAAGAAATTTTCTGGATAACGTAAAGATGGATAAGCAACGAGACAGTTACTATTTCATGATGCAAGAAAATGAACTTTGTTTTGACAAAGTTGCAACATAATTTCATACATTACCAATAAGATAAATAAATAGTATAAATTTTACGAATAAATATTAACATCTGGATAAAATATCAATACTAATCATCATCATCATCATCATAATGTTCGTCATTTAATTCATTTTGACTGTTTAATTCACTGTTTATGTTAGCCATGACAGGAGCAGCTATTTGATCAGATTCATCTTGATTTCGTCTAAAATACAGGACTTTATCATGCTTATGCCACAGTAAAACATAGTAGTGTGAAGTGAACCATAAACTTACCGAGCTTTTTTACTTCGACTTCGAGCAGCCCGTTTTTGTCCACCAACATGTTTACTACCAACATGTTTCCAATAAGAGTCAAATTTTTCTGGTTTGTTTTCAAAAAAAGCAGCAATCATGGCTCCTTCGAAATAAATACCAGTAAAATATATAATGAATGGCATTACTTACCTTTTACAATATCAAATCGTTTATCTTCTTCATTTTTTGCTTCACCATTAATTATTTCTTCTTCTGAATACAACTTACGAATTAATTTACAATGAATACCAGTTATTGATAAATCAGAAGATATTGAGTCAAAGAGATTTTTTTCTTTGTAGTTCTATTATTATAAACTAAGTCAAAACAAATTAATATAACAATGATCAATTACTCACATAGATTGGTAATTCAATTGGTTTTTTAGCTGATACTTGTTCCTACATAGAACGAAATTCACAAAAGAAAGTAAGATTATAGAAACTCACAAGTTGATTTGTACGAATTAATGAAGCCGTCATTTCTTGAAGTTTTTTATTACTTTTACGAAGTAACTGAAGATCATCAACAATAAGTTCTTGTTGTTTCATAACAGTTTTCAAAAAATTGCTAATATCATCAATTTGCTTTCCATAATCGAAAGAAGATTCAGCATGTTTTCGTTTAGTTGATGGTGATGATGAAATATAATCTAAACAAATAAAAATCTTTTTCACTATACATTGATATTATTAAAATTAGAACTAACCAGAATCGCAAGTTGTAATTCTTGAAGAAACATTTCGATGATAGGAATTCGATTCGACAACGTCAAAATCTGATGAATACGGTTGAACAGGATCTGAACATAATACATCTACTATATAAAAAATGAAACTATATTAAACTTACCTTGATCACTTTGTATATGATGTTGTTGTTGTTGTCTTCGTTGTTGTGAAAAAAAATGAGCTGATGATGGAAGTGTACGTCGCGCTGTTAAAGGCGAATTTGTACGTGATTGAGTTAATGAATTATTAGTAGTTGTTGTGCCAAGAGAAGTTCTTTGGTGATACATATTCCAATCAATAAAATATGAATTTATCTGAAAAAAACTGACTTTTTCCATGCAAAATAGAGAAACTGAAGAAACAGTCAAAAGGAATAATCAAATATAAAAAAAAATGAACAAGATCAGCTAGAATATATCAAAGTAACAAAAAAATAGCTTGAGTAAAAAAAACAGCATCAGTAGAACACACAAGACCGAAAAATTTTAAATCGAATGATGGAATACATTAAAAAAAAAAAGTTTCTTTAACATTTAATCATGTTCAAGTTCGTGATCAACATTAGATACAAGAATAATATCATCATCAAATGGAAGAAAAATCGATTTCCGAAGTAAAGAAGAACATGGATATATACGAAAGATAACTGAAGAAGAGTGGACGCAATAAAAGAATTGATTGACTCTATCTGACCATGAGCTGATACTATCATCTAGATTGAGATGTTTCGATAGTGACGAAGAAGAACATAACATTTGTTTAACAAAAAAATATTTCTCACTACGATATGAAAAGAAGAATAAGATTTCGCCAAAGCAAATCAATTTAGAACAGGAAGAGTTATAAAAGCATACTCGATAGCTAACAGATGTTTTTCGCAACTTATATGATAATGAATGATAAACGGAAACACCTAAACGTAAACGATCATAAAAACTAATATCTTCAGCAGTTCCATCATTAAAAAAGCGAGAAAATGCATAAGTAAATTGTTCATCATATTCTTTTATAATATTTTGATCAAAAAAATTATTATCAAAAAAATTATTTTTTAAAAAAATATTTGGAGTACGCTTAACTTTTTTGAAGTGAATGAATCGATCTATGGAATACCAAAAACTCATCTGACTAGCTAATGATATTGTTCCATGGCTCATTTTTGCTAAGTGATTTAGTGAACTCTCAATACTGAACATGCTGTGGAAAGCTAACGCGCCATGATTATCGCACTGTCTCCAAAAATGAACTAGAACATGAGTCGATAGAAGTTCAGCACAGGGTCCATAAAATAACGGAAACTGATCTAAGTAACATTCGATAAACGGACGCATTGCATATATATCTGACCGATTATAAAAAAAGATCAATGTACGTAGATAAACAAAAAAAAAAGAAAAATGTCGAACAATAGCAGAAGGAAAATATTTTTCTAGATGTATGAGAAGTGGAAGAGATATATAAAGAAAAAAAATTCTCATCTGACTAGCTTTCCATTGATTAAACATTGAGAAGTTTTTCGGGCGTCGATTAAAGGTGTGCGGATAAAGAATATCTGAAAGATAAGCATTTGCTTTTTCAATAGCAACTTTTGGTAACAGCTCAATCCACCGAGAAATAAGAACAGGTAAATGAACTTTCAAACATACATGAAAATAGTCAAATACGCATTGAGTTGGAATTGATAAGATGGTGGATAATGGTGATTTTCCTAGAACTCCAAATGGTCGAATTTTTTTCTTAGATGCTGCAATTAAACTAACACAATATTCAATATTTTCTTCAGTTCGAGGTTCAGGACGGGTGGCTTGATATTCACGCCATGAAAACATAATATGACGATGTATGTTACAATGTGTACCTTCGAGAAGGCATCGTGTACATGAAAAATAACCGGTATGACCGGATAAAAGACTATATTTTGATCTTCCAGGTAAATCACCAACAATGAGTTGAACATTAATGTTAAATAATCTGACACGTATAGAAAGAGAAAGGAAAAAAAAATCATTATTTTAGCTGTAGGGATATTTTACAGCTTACAACAGTTGTGAATTACTGAATATGTTACGTGAATAGATGAAAGAGAATGCGTGTAATGAATAGCACATAAAACCTATGTGCCTTATTTCATATTCACTTGTTTCTCAATTTAATATTGAATAACTGTTAACTATTATCATTTTCTGCTCAACTAAGATTTATCAGATAGAATTCACATACAAAATATATTGAAAAGGATTAAGACAATTCTCGTCTCTTTTTTTCTAATTTTTAATATTGATAAATCATCTTGATGCACATTTTCTGTATAACTGTAATGCAATATGCTTCTAAACTGAATATTCTCAAGCCGATAGCCTCTACAAATTAGGTGTAACATCGCACATATTATTGCATTCTATCAACGTTTCCAGTTAAATAGGTCAAGTTATTCAAAGCTATCTTGAAATGAACTGATTGCGAAATTTTTTTTAAAGTGAATGATACTTATCTTTTGCACCCAAATTAATAATAAGACCATGAGTTTGAAGACGTTTGATTGTTTTCACAATATTCCCCAAAAGCATATCAGCTGTTGGGCTTTTTGTTGAATGGTACAAGCCAAATAACATCACATTACGTTGATATTCACGAACAGGTGGTGGGATTTCTGCGATAGTACAGAAAACCTGTAAGAAAAACAACAAAGGATCATTTTACTATAAACAGAAAGTCATTAGTTAATCTTTTTTTCCTTATCGTTAACTCAAATCATACTTTTATTCATATTTCTCAAAAAACTTGTTTTGTTCAACTCTCTCGCGTTCGATCTCAAAGTAAATTTGTAGATTAATAGTGTTCAAAACGTACTCTTCTAGTATTAGCGTATATATTTTATGACCAGAGACTGAGCAACAAGGAATTCTTTGTATCAAACAATTATATGTTATTGTCAATGGATTCTTTCTAAATTGATTGGCTCATTATATTAGATAGTAATAGCTGTAGAACACACTTTGGGCCCTTTAGCAGTACAAAATTAGCGTCTATATAAAGGAATTTATAGATATAAGATCATTCTGCAGCAATCGATTCAACTGATAACAGACAAGCAGGAATCATATTACGGAAAGATGTATATTAATTAACACGTGAAAAGAATGCTCAGTTCTCTGTTCTCAAGAAGAGTAGTCTTATATTTGGTTATTATTCCCTTTATAAATTTTCAAGTGGCATATTATTACTAAAACTCGCTGAAAATTAAACATAAACCACTTACTGGCCACATGGAGCTACTTGAAGATTTCACGATTGGTTTACCATCAGTTCCTAGCAACAAAGTAATTGAGTTTTTTTTTTCATTACTTTTATATATATGTCCTACAATGAAGCTTATTTAGTTTAAACTTAATAAGATAAATAGAGTATACCATTAGTGATATCATACATAAATTCATGTCGATAATTTTCGTAAAATTCTATTAGGTGGAAATTCATTTTCACAACTCGACGAATTTCATCGGGAATAGAGAATAATATAAGTTCTGTATTCATATTTTGATTTCCATTAAGACAAGCACATTTATCAGCAAATTTTGATAGTTGTCGGTTACAATTTGAACAATATATATTTGTTTGAAACGTAAATTGAATTCCAGCTCGTTTCCACAATTCACGATCTGATTTTGGTAAACCAACATTTGATTTAATATTATTTAGTAAATCTAATAATCTATTCGTATTTGATTTATCAAGATTAGCACTACGAATGAAATTAATGATTTGCATTAGTTCTTCATCTTCATCACTATCATTTTCACCTCCACTATCTTCAGATTGTGACGATTCAATTAAATAAAAATCATTATCAAGTTGAATATTCGATTCCAGATCATCAGTAAAATTATGATTATCTATATTACAAGATTATACAACATAAAAGAAAATGCACTAGGAATTCATATAAAATGAAATATTAAATATACCTTCATTAACAGTTGAATAGTTCGAGTTGTAAATATCATTCAATAGCGCTCTAGATTGTTGTTCATCACTAATATTTTCTGTACGATCTTCATCAGAATCGTCACTGATCATCACTACAACAATTGTAAAAAAAAGGTTCTACAGAATCATTAGAAGTGAATAAATTACATTGATCAGTGGTGAACTTGATATCAGTAACCGGTGTATTTCGTAGTGATAAATTTTTACATTGTTCACGTATTGACTGTCGGTATTTAATATTACGTTGTCTCCTCTGTTCTTTTTCTACAAAAAAAAAGAAAGACATGAATAGAAATTCAAAAGTTAGCGTACCATGACGATTGAGTTGAGACGTTAGATCATTTGTATTGTTTTCCATATGATCGATAAGACGAAAATGATTAGTTTTAATTTACAAACAGTGTTAAAATTAAAATAATACCATCCTTCGATAATTATCACTAAGAAAACGAAAAAGAAATCTAGAATAATTAGATTCATAAAAAAATTGTAAAAATATTATAACAGATACAAATCTTTTAATATATATTCCAAAAAAATATTATAAAAAAAATGGATTGAATATTTTAATATATATTCTAAATCAAATTATAAAAAAAATAAATTAAATATTTTAATATACAGTAGAGTGCAAAAATAATTGCCGATAGACTTTTCAAAGTTCTTCTCAGAGAAGTATCAGATATTATGATTTTTTAATGTTGTTGTACTACCCAGATACTGTACTATACAAATATATTAATCATTAAAACTTTCGCATTCTCTATGAGTTTAAAGAAGATAATAATCTTACGTTCTTG